TTAACCAATTAGTGTGTCTAGCCCATTAATAAATCGCACATAACTATTACAGCTGCTGCAGCTGCCTGATGATAATGATTGATGACGATGATGCAAAGTACAAACCCAAAGAACAGTAGCTGAATCTCCTGCTGACAGTCTCTAAAGGAACAAATGGCTTCTTATAGGGTGAGTCTAACCACTATTTTAACAGTACAGCATGACCGTGGCACTCCTGAAGTCTATAAAGATCACAGCAGTTTCTGTGGCAATCATCACGCAACCCTACACCTCTTGTGCAACACTGTGGCTATTAATGCAATCTGGTAAAATTAGCAAATTGTAAACTCTATTTGCCAGTGCAGTCAGGGATCAGATAACTTTTGCTCCACCCAAGAGAAAGCCTTCCGGTGACAATGCAAATCTTGTTCTATATTAAAATGGCCCTCACTTTTACAGTAAGGAATTGCCCAAGCATTGGAGTCCCTCATCAACAGTTACAACCCAAATGTATGATCTTTAACTGATATTAAACCATTCTCCAATATTCCAACATGCCCTTAATTGCCAGTCACACAAATAGACTATGATTTGATTTTGAGAGCCCCCCCCCCAAATCCTGAAAATGTCAAAAATTCTGAAAATGACATATCCTTCCCTGAAAAATCTCTGAATCTACATCAGATTGCTTATGTATAAATCCATCTATAGATCAACAGTCTTCTGTTTTCTCTAGCCCTGACATTCTAACATTCTAGGAGTAGAGATTGATCCAAGAATACATTTTTAAACTTATTTTTTAGCGTTGTCAAAGCAGACACTATTTAGAAGTCCTTGTCAAAGGAGAGACAGCAGAAGCATCAGTCTGTCATGCCCTGGAAACTTCCAAACATCAACCAAACAGCCCAAAACAATGTCCTACTCAACAGTTCCAAGGATGTCATTAATTGCTTCCATCTGTTTCCCTCTCTGTCCCTTCCCCATCCTAGTAAAGTTATTTTTTGCTTCATTTTGCATTCTAAAGAAAAGCATAAAGAGCCCTCATGTTTTAAACTGCAGAATACTTATTCGTCCCCCAAATTTGTTTGATAATAACAGCCATATTGTTTTTGTACTCCAGGCTATTTTCAGGTAACATTTCAGAGTGTGGCATATTAAGTCATGTACTTTTTAAACACTGCTCAGTAAATATTTCAGTTGGTCATAACACAATACTTTTCCCTAACTCCTCAAGGTGACCAGGGTTCTCCCTGCATGGCATGATAAAGGTTAAAACCTCTGAATGGTTTCATATCCATTAATGATCCTTACCTAAATCAGTGGTTTCATTAAAAATTAAATAATCATGACTTTCTAATTCTGTCATTTATTCCACTTTCATTGGTTAGAATTTCCCCCATCAACTAGAGCTATTAGGTTACTGTGAAATAAAGTATGCCCAAGAGAGAAAGAATAGCTACAATTTTTTTTCTTGTGATGAGAACTTTTAAGATCTACTCTCAGCAGGGCTTCCCTGGTGGCGCAGTGGTCGAGAGTCCGCCTGCTGATGCAGGGGACACGGGTTCATGCCCCGGTCCGGGAGGATCCCGCATGCCGCAGAGCGGCTGGGCCCGTGAGCCATAGACCCTGAGCCTGCGCGTCCGGAGCCTGTGCTCCGCAACGGGAGGGGCCATGACAGTGAGAGGCCCGCATACCGCAAAAAAGATCTACTCTCAGCAACCTTCAAATATATAATACAGTATTATTAACTATATTCACCATGCTGTACATTATATCTTCATGACTTATTTATAACTGCAAGTTTGTACTTTTTTACTCCCTTCCCCATCTTGCACACCCCCCCACCTCCCCACTTCTGGCAACCACCCACCTGTTCTCTGTACCTATTAATTCATTATTTTAAATATTCTACATATAAATCATATAGTATTTGTCTTTCTCTGACTTATTTCACTTAGCATAATGCCCTCAGGGTCCATCCATGTTGTTACAAACAGCAGGATTTCCTTCTTTTCTATGGCTGAATAATATATTATATATATATATCACACCTTTATCAATTCACCCATTGATGGACACTTAGGTTGTTTCCATATCTTGACTATTGTAAATAATGCTGCAATCAACATGGAGTGCAGATATTTCTTTCAAGATAAGTGATTTTATTTCCTTAAGATAAATACCCAGGGATTTCCCTCATGGTGCAGTGGTTAAGAATCCACCTGCCAATGCAGGGGACATAGGTTTAAGCCCTGGTTCAGGAGGATCCCACACGCCACAGAGCAACTAAGCCTGTGCGCCACAACCACTGAGCCTGCACTCTAAAGCCCGCAAGCCACAACTATGGAGCCCAAGGGCCACAAATACTGAAGCCCCGCGCCTAGAGCCCATGCTCAGCAACAAGAGAAGCCACTGCAAAAAGCCCATGCACCGCAATGAAGAGTAGCCCCCGCTTGCTGCACCTAGAGAAAGCCCACGCACAGCAACAAAGACCTAACACAGCCAAAAATAAAAATAAATAAAATTTAAAAATTAAAAAAAAAATAAAATAAATACCCAGAAGTAGAATTGCTGGATCAAGTGATATATCTATTTTTAATTTTTTGAGGAGCCTCTGGAAAGATAGGACAAATGCCTCTTTTCTTTAAATTTCCCATTACCGGAGTAAGGGGCTGGTGTCCTAGTTACCACCAAGGGTGATCAATGAAGTTTTGTTTTGTTTTAAAGTTACCCACTTTTCTGAAAATATCATCACAACTAGGGTACTCCTTAATTTTTCTAAGTCCCCAAGGAAGCCTGTGAGAGAGCACATAGCATATTTCAAAGGTATATTTCTGGGAATAAGCAGAAATGAGTTTCCTGAAGAAATTCATTTACCAGTCAAATGATATTCATAGGCCTGAATGTGAAGGGTTAAAAGGAACTATTTATAGGGTCATCAAGTCCAACTTCCCCGATAATTTTTTTTTAACATCTTTATTGGAGTATAATTGCTTTACAATGGTGTGTTAGTTTCTGCTTTATAACAAAGTGAATCAGCTATACATATACATACTTCCCTGATATTGAAGCTCCCTATACACTATCTCCCCATGCTCTGTACCTTCCAGGGGGTGAGGAGCAAATGGGTACAAGCTAGAGCTGTGTTTTTAATGTACAGTAAAAGCAAGTTTAATTATACTATGTTTAACTGACAGCATAGGACTCTTAATATTACCATGCTGATGAAATGGCACATAAATAAAGTAGGCTCGTACTGGTTAGAGCTGGAAGAAACCCAGGATGCCACCAAGTCCAAAGAGGGCAAGTTTAAAAAGAGACTCCCACAAAACAGACTCTGCAAAAAACAGATGCTTCTGGTACCTTACTTCCTGACACATGAACATTTTGCAGAATTAACAGAAATATAGTTCTGTAGAAGCACCCACTAAAGTAAGTTAGAAATAAGAAGATACCAATATGGGTGAAATTCTCATCTGTTCAATGAAAATAATAGACCATAAGGAGGATAAAAAAAAGGAACACTTTTTGCTTTATTTTAAATTGTGATATATACCAAACATACAGAAAATTGCACAAACCATATGTATAATATAATGGGTGATTATAAAACAACCACTCACGTAACTGAACAGTTAAATCAAGAAATAGAACATTATTACCGCTTTAGAAGCACCTGCATGCCTCTCCCTGAGTACAGCCCTCTTCCTTCCTCCCGGAGATACAACTATGCAGACTTCTGTGTTCATTATATCCTTATTCGTCTTTATCTTTTTACCTTATAAATAGGCATCCCTAAACAACAGTTTATTTGTTTTTGAACTTTAAATAAATGGAACCTACCTACATATATATATCTCTATAATTCACTTCCCTTAATTATTTTTCAGATTCATTCTTTCTTTTCTAATTCATAAAATTAACCATTTTAAAATGAAATATTCTCATTCCTTTTTATTACTGCTTAATATTCCAATTGATAACTATACCATGATCATTTTTATCCATTCTACTGTAGATAAACCAGTGGTATCATCATGAACAATGTTGATATCATTATTTTTGTATATGGATCCTAGTGTACATGGGCATAAGTTTCTTCAGGGAACATACTAGGAGGCAGAGAAATTGCCTATCTTCCACTTTACTAATGCCCAACTGTTTCCCAACGTGGCTGCACCAATTTACATTCCCAGCAGCAGTGTCCCAAATGCTCCACATCCACACCAACAACTGATACTATCAGACTTAATTTAGGAGCTTATAATAGAACAATTTGCAGTTCTCTGATGACTACTGAGATAGAGCACCTTCTCACAGGTTTACTAGCCATTTGGATTTCCTCTCTTTTGAAGTGCCTATTCAAATTCTTTGCCCTTGTTTTTTAAAACTGAATAGACTTATCTCTTTCTTATTGACTTGTAGATCTACTTTTTTTTTTTTTTGTCTTATGCATCAGGCTTTACTTTTACTTAGGACGTGACTGCCATAGAAAACAAAGTCATTAATCAAAGACAACATAATCAAGAACCTGAGAAGCTTTAACTAATCAAAAGTTAGTATCTCTGCTTACTTTACATAGGATAGGCCAAAATGTCTAGAAATTATTTGTAGGAGTATTAAGTGATACGTAAATATAACTTAAATTTAAAACGCTACTGAAATACGTGACAAAACACATTTTTTTTTTAAGTTTGTATTCACTGTTATCTCCAAGCAAAGGTATTTAGTACACAATCCAGACTCATGCATGCTAAGGTCAGAATGTTTCTGAATCCTTTCCATTCTGAAAAACAAAATTCAGAAGTCATAGTTTGATTAAAAATTATGTCAAAAATGCCTAACACCAATGAATAAAATCAACAGTAGGAAATTTGACTGCTGAAAAATGAAAAATTAAAATTTCAACTGTAAACAGAGCTTTATATTAAAAAAAAAAATTGCTCCTATAGTCAGTATTTTTCCTTTCCTAACAAGAGGATTATTCTGCTTAGCCATAGAAGAATGTTTTAATTACTTACTTAATAAATGCTGGTGGCATATCTCTCTTCAAAATCTGATCCTCAGTGGTTTGAACAGTCTCTTTTCCAACCTACAGGGAAAAACGATTCACAATTCAAATTTAAATTCTCAGACTTTTAAAACTATTATTTAAACATATTTGAAACACATACATTACACATTATCATTGAAAATGATAGATTTGAAGAAAATTTCTAGATTTTTTTAAATTATCAAGATTGCTCCCACATATGCTTCCATAATACACTTGGATAACAATATAGAGTGCAAACATAATGTATTAACCCTGTTCCAGAGTAATTAATTTGAAGGCATCATTGAGCACAGTGAGAAAAAAAAATTCATCACTGAGAATATATATGTTTGTGTGTATTTATGTTTAATGACAAACTGCTACATCCCTGAAAGAGTACATGAAGTACATGAATCCAGTTAGGTAAGCTAAAATGTCTATTCAGAAAAAAATTGACATTACTGGAACTGGAAAAATACGTGAAACAATCATAACTCTGAAACTAGAAACCAAACATATGAAAGTACACAACTTAACTAGTAATCAACATGATGTTTTCCCTAATCATAGAGCACCTTAAAAAGAAATAATATATAATGCTAAATGTTGCAATGGAATAGTTTTACACCCTGCTGGTAGCAATGTAAACTGGTATATTCTCTTTGGAAAATCATTTGCTAGTATGTGTTAACAGACAAAAACGTCCTATCTAGGAATTCCACTTATGAGAATACACCCTACAAGCAATAATACCAAGTGTGGTAATCACAATATTTACAAAAATATTCACTATCATGTTAGTTAAAAAAGCAAAAACATTTTCAAAATAACTTACCAACAATGAGGAACAGTTAAGTAAATTAAGATATATCTTTAGACTTAGTACTACAGGGCCATTAAAACAATGGTTATAAAGACTCAGCACTATGGGAAAATGTTTATGACATTATACTTCGTTTAAAAGGAGGAATAAAAAATAATAAATACACTATGATTACAACAAACCCAAAACTCATTATGTACAAGGCAAAATACTGAAAGAATATAAAACAAAATGTGTTTATTAATGCTTGCAAAATTTTGAGTGAATTTGTATCTGTATTTCCTGTTTTCTAATTTTCTAAAATGTATATATATAATTTTTGTAATTTAAAATGTAACATTAAAATGTTACTCTTGGTTACCTAAGTGTAATTATTTCCTACCTAAAAATTTTATTAATTATCATTTTATATAAATCCTCCCCAAAAGTAATGGCAAAAAATTTTAAAAACATATCAAAATACTGCCACACTAACTGGATTGTGTGCATGTGCACATGTATTTATTATACCACAAATGGTATACATACTCACTTTCTTTAAAATCATTCCTATGTAGGGCTTGGATGTCAATTTTTCTTTAACTATATCATATATTACAAAGCACTCTAAAAGAAGTAAACTTTAATATAAGGAATAGTGAAATTCACCCTTTTATCAATATAAAGCTATTTAGGAATATTAAATCATAAACCACATTTTAATGCAGAAATCTGTGAAATTTTTAAAACCCAGAATGGAAAGTATCTCAATCCTATTATTTAACCATTTAACTTTTATTGAGTTTAAGGAAGAAAAACTAGTTTAAAAAATTCCTAAATGCACAGTAAAGCAGCTAAAGCAAATAACACAATAAACTATTCTCAGGGAATACCAGTCAGGCATGAGTTAATAAATACAAGTTTTTTCTCTCAAGTTAATAGCTCAGAAAAAAGCAAGACACATATACCACTGTGTAATAGCCCGTGCTTTTGTGGACAATGGACTCTCTGTATCATAATAAAACCCTTTCAAATCAGCAGCTGGTTCTCTAGAGTTTCTCAGATCAAAACATGACAGAATATTTCCAGATGTATTGTTCACCATAGTTTCTAACAAAAATCAGCCATTCAAAAGCTGTGGACCATGACTTCATGAAGGAAAAGATGAAGTGCAGCAACAGTCACTCGTTCATACTAAGCATAGGGTCTAGAAGGATATTCACACTTAGAGCAACGGCAATTCCTTTTATTTTACACACCACGTGTACATATATAGAGAGAGCCAAAGAGAGACAGGGGTAGAGAGAAAGAGAGAGAGAGTGTGCAAGCCAGGCGAGTGGGGAAGAGTTCCTCTTATATCTCCTTTAAAAAGTATTCAGTTATTCAGTGTTATTAAACATTTATTGAATGCAACTACACGTGCCAGTCACTGTTCCAGGTACTTTAGACAGAACGGGAGTAAAAATAAGTTTCCTTCCCTCATGGAAGTTATATTCCAGTGGGAGTAGACAGAGAGAGAGCACACAAGTAAATAAATAAATAAATAAACAAAATCATTCCAGGTAATAGTAAAGATGATGCTATAAAGAGTATGGGGTAGGAGTAGAGGGGGCCTACTTTAAAAAGTGTGGACAGGGCTTCCCTGGTGGCACAGTGGTTGAGAGTCGCCTGCCGATGCAGGGGACACGGGTTCGTGCCCCAGTCCGGGAATATCCCACATGCCGCGGAGCGGCTGGGCCCATGAGCCATGGCTGCTGAGCCTGCGCATCCGGAGCCTGTGCTCCACAACGGGAGAGGCCACAACAGTGAGAGGTCCGCATACCGCAAAAAAAAAAAATTTTTTTTTAAACTCAATAGTGATAAAACAAACAATCCAATTAAAAAAAAAAAACAGTGGACAAAGAAGTAACATTGGAGCTGAGATTCTAAAGCTGAAAAGAAACTACTCATGCAAGAGCTGGGAAAGAACAATCAAGAGGGAGAAGCAAGAAAAAGGCCCAAAGGCAGGAAAGTTTGGGTATACTTAAAGAGCCTCAAGGAGGCCAGAGTGGCTGAAGCTCAGTGAGGGGGGTAGGTGTGGTGATGAGGTTGGGTAAGAAGGCAATGGTCATATCACAAAAGAGCCTTTTAGGCCAAGTTAAGGTGTTTGGAATCTTTCCTAAGTACAACAGGAAGCAGGAGTGCTAAACAAGAGACTGACATGATTTTTTTTTTTTAAAGGTCATTTTGCCTGTTATAAGGAGAAGTGATCTTAGCAAGCAAGGAGAAGCAGAGTGACCAGTTAGGAAGCTACTGTAGTTGTCCATGGGAATGATGGTAGTGACTTAAAACAAGACGCAAAAGTGGACATGGAGAATTAGTTCTTTTGGAGGAAGAGCTAATGGGACTTGCTCTTGGAATGGGTGAAGTAGGGGTTGGGGAGTGGACTGACAGAAAGAAAAATTTAAAATAACACATAGGTCAATTAAGTAAAATGTCTTCAAAAGCAGCAATGCTAAAAGGCTGATGTATACCAAAGATTTAACATGAAAGGATAAAACAATCATGAGTAAACCAGGCAAAACCACTGAAACAGTTTTTCAATAGCAACTATTCTGACCCCAACAGAGGTAATTACTAAAGAATGAATTCTATTTAACTATTTTAGGTCTCTTTTGTAAAGGTAGGGGGTAGGTGAGGAAACAGAAATAGACAATAAAAACATACTCAAGGGCTACTTTTTTTTTTTGCGGTACGCGGGCCTCTCACTGTTGTGGCGTCTCCCATTGCAGAGCACAGGCTCCAGACGCGCAGGCTCAGTGGCCATGGCTCACGGGCCCAGCCGCTCCGTGGCATGTGGGATCTTCCCGGACCGGAGCACGAACCCGTGTCCCCTGCATCGGAAGGTGGACTCTCAACCACTGCGCCACCAGGGAAGCCCAAGGGCTACTTATTTTAAAACTATTTTTAAGTATTTAAGTGATGTGAACTAAATCTGATTTATTATTCTAAGCTGCATTCATAACTGCAGTGATAGTATCCACAGTCACTTTGATCTTCAATACACTCAGTCTATAATTAGGTTACACACAATGAATGGTCCTGTTTTTAAGGCATAACACATAAAATGTGACTATGTAGAATGAATGCCATTTTTACTTGGAGAACTGATTTTTGGCAATGCTGTCCAACAGAACTTTCTGTTATGATGGAAATGTTCTATTTAATTTGTGCTATCCAATACAGTAGCCATTAGCCACTTGTGGCTACTAAGCACTTGAAATATGGCTAGTGCAACTGAAGAACTGAATTATTACTTTTATTTAATTCTAATTAATTTTAATCTTTTTTATTAACACTATTTTTTAAACAGCCATTTTAGGTTTACAGCAAAATTAAGATACAGAGATTTCCCATATACTCCCCGCCCCCATACCAATAGCCTCCCCCATATTCAATGCCCCCCACCAGAGTGGTACATTTGTTACAGCTGATGAACCTACCATTGACACATCATAATCACCCCCAAATTCATAGTTTACATTACATTCCACTCTTGGTGTTGCACATTCTATGGGTTTGGACACATGTATAATGACAGGTATCCGTGATCATGGTATGACACAGGGTTTTGCCCTAAAAATCCTGTGCTCTGCCTATTCATTCCTCCACCCCAAACCCCTGAAAACCACTGATCTTTTTACTGTCTCCATAGTTTTGCCTTTTCCTGAACGTCATATAGTTAGAATCATACAGTATATAGCCTTTTCAGGTTGTCTTCTTTCATTTAATTTGAATTTAAATTCCACATGTGCTACAATACTGGACAGCTCAGGTCTATGGGACTTGCACTGTCTCCTAAAACTGGTCTTCCTGCCTCCAGACTTCCTTCTTCTAATTCACTATTCACATGGCTGCTAGATTAACCTTGATTTTTACCTTTGCTACTTGGTATCTTCAGAGAAGAAGGGAGCTGGGCCTAGAGAGACGACAGCAGTTGCCACATGGAGGAGAGAGGGATCAGACAGCCCAAGCACAAAAAAGAGCACAGTCCAAGCCTCAAATGTGTTTGAGCACACGGTTGACTAGACAAGAAAAACAGGCTGGCGTGCCTTCAGCAAAGGAAATGAGACTAGAAAGGAAAGCTGGAGTCAGCCTGGGAAGGGCTTTGTGTGCCAAGGGAAGGCAGAAAGGATTATGTAACTTAACCTGCCCATTTATTGAAAGGCTGTCATCCTTTGTTCTAGATCTAGATCTTTTCAATTCAGTGTTCTAT